TGACGATATAGTACTTGTGACAGAATCGCTAAAGCACCTAAGCACTATGCCTCTCTCTATCAAATGTCCTCAATAGTGCCTCCCAAAGGATAGGGCTTAATATTAACATGGAAAATACAAAGAAGTCCATGTCACACTTATGCTGGAAGATGTTGGTAGCACTGAGCTTGAAGTTGTTGACGAGTATGTTTACCTGGAACAAATAGTCCGACTAGGTAAGTCCAACTTCGACGGATTCAACTCGGCTGGGCAGTGTTTGGGAGATTACAAGACATCTTCTCGTCAGGTATACCTAATTTGAAAACGAGATTGTACAACTAGTGCGTGTTGCCAGTGATATTTTATGGATCTGAGAAGTAGTCCTTCACTGTTGGCCGTATGAGGAAGCTGAAAGTCGATCAGCGAGCTATTGATAGAGCTATCCTCGGGTTTTCTCTGCATAGTAATTAGAAATGAAGATATCCGCAGTAGGACCATAGTGCATAGCCCAACGAATTAGTAAGCTAAAATGGCAATGAGCCGGCCATATAGCTCGAAGAACTGACAACCGATGGGAAAGAAAGGTTTTCGAGTGGCAGCCTCTTACCAGGTATTAAACTTAATATTAGGTCCTTACATATGAAGTTGGCGTTTTGTAGGAGGAATTTAATTAATTTTTTTTGTAAAATATATTTAATTAATCAAAGCATGCACAGTTGTTATCTATGCACTTTTGCCATCTCATAGGTAGTTCATAGATCCCTTTTCTAAAAATAACTCTGGGGGCGAGAATAAAAAAACTCTTTGAAGGCGGTTTGGACCGCCACATGGGAATTGAATTTTTTTCCTTGTAATAAGTTGTCCAAATTCCGAAAAAATGGTAATCTGTTGAATCAAGTTCCAGGGAGTACGGTGGATGTCGCAGACATTCCAAGTGCAGTTCATCGAAATTAGTGGTTGTTTGTTGTGCAGTGTATGGCCTTGCGTTGTCGTGAAGCAGCAGTGGCCTAGAGCGATTGACCAATCTCGGTTGTTTAGCAGCTAGTTCTCCCTTCATGATTTGCAGTTGCTGATAATAGATATCTGCCGTAATCGTTTGGCCAGATTTAAGAAAGCTGTAGTTAACGACACCTGCGCTATTCCACCAAACACTCACAAGTAATTTTTCTGAGTCAATTTTCGTTTAGGGCAGAATTGGGCTGGGTCTCCAGGGTTCAGCCATTGCGACAAGCGCTTTCACTTTACTTGTGATGAAAAGTATCCTCTTTTCATCACAAGTAATGATTCTATTTAAAATCCCTTCATTATTGTGTCGGTTAAGCAAAGTATCACAGCAGTCGACGCGTGTTTGCAAGTCCGATTCACTCAAATCATGAGACACATCGTTCAAGTTTTTTTACTTACCCGATTTGCTTCAAGTGGATTAATACAGTTTTATCACATACCCCGAAGCCTGCAGCTATCTCTGAAGTGCTTTGTAGTGGATCCGCTTTCACAATAGCCTTTAATTCTTCATTTTCCACTTTCGTCTCGGGCCGTCCACGGGGTTGGTTCTGAAGGTCGAAATTTCCAGAACGAAAACGTTGAAACCAAAAACGTACCGTGCTTTCTTTTTCTACCGTGCACATCATTAATCCTTCGAGCTGTTTCTGCAGCATTGGTGCCACGGTAGAACTCGTACTCGTAAATATACCGATATTTCATGTTTTCCATTGTCCGGCAATAAGCGACGCCAAAGAAAAAAATAATGAGGAAAAACAAATGAATGACTGTTTTCAAAACTCAAATGTACCAGCTAAATGAATTTATAAATTTGAATGTGGAATTCTTAACCAAAGAGGAAATATTTCAGATCAAAGTGATCAGTACGACAAAACGCTAATTTCATATGTAAGGAATATATGCAAAATTTATTTCTAACTATTTAGACCTTTAAAACACGAACTGACAGATATTTAAACGGCAAATCACCATCATTCTAACAAACAGCTACCTTGGGAATTCCTTTGTTTCAGATCTGATCTAACATATAAGACTGTTGACAGTGTTTTCATATTCACTGAACTTGATTGTGCAAGCCTGATTTATTTCGTGGAAAATAATCTCACGCTCAGTTATTAGGATAAGTAACTATTTGTCCTGGGAAAGCATTAATTTTCATGAACGCCCACAAAGCTGTTACGTGTGTGTTAACTGATGTACTTGTAATTTCGATCAAATCAGAATCGTTATATTTATACGTTTATGGATAACTTTGTATCCCTTTTTAAGCATACGCGCGCATGGAGTAGAGTGGGAATTGATATAGTTAAAGTTTATATTTCTCATAGAGTAGAAAGCTAAAATTAATATATAATATGTTTTTAATATGGAAAATTTAATTAAATACTTAAAACATACATTGTTTACGTTAATACTGCCAATGTTAAACCCACAATTCAGTCGTTTGTTAATTTCATACTGCCAATATCTCAGAGCATATTTATTATAATACTCAAAGCATAGACTTATTAAATACTGACGTATAGACTGACATAGTATGCCAGATAGGAGAAAATTCCATATGGCAAAAACGCAAGATAGAAAAAGATACCAAAAAAGTCATGAGGACTTTGCAACCGATTTTGGATGACAGGTCAGCACAAGTCGACACGCAAGAAATAAGCTCCCAGATATTTTGTAATTTTTAAGATTATAACAGTGTTAATGTTTATTTATAATAGTTTTCTAAAATGGTTACATGTTCCGCGAGTGACTGTGGTGTCAATAATAGGAATAATCTTGATATTTGTACATTTCACAGGTAATTCTCAAGATGTCGGCAATTTTATGAAGAGTTTATTTTTGGTTAAAATATGTTATGTACTTTTTATAATATAGAATGTTTTTAATTATTTTGTTAAATTTGATATATTGTACAGAAAAAAGTCACGTTGTTGGTAATTGGCATGAATTTTTGAATGTATATCAACGCTGGAAAGGAAAAATTATCCAGAGGAAAAAAGCGCGGGAAGTTTTGAAGTAGGCGGGCGTCCTTTTTTGGCTAAACTTTTGAAAATTAAATTAATTTGATATTACAGGATCAGTTAAGTTGTAAAGTATATATATTAGTAGTTATTGTTGATTATTTATAGTTTTAGTTGGTTTTCTTCACCTGGTAAGTCATTTCATTGTATTATATGTAAATAGGATTTTTCTCTTGGCGTCCATGTTGGAGCCCGAAGACCCTGGAGGGACATCCCTCCAGGTGTCTCATGTAGTCACAATCGATGCGTCGGGAATGGAAACGGAAGGTTCAATTATAGATACAGACTGTTCGGAAAACACGAAATCGGTTAAAAGAAAGAGAATCTCAGCTAGAAACCAAAAGAAGAGAAGGAATCACAGACCTTCGGGTCTATCAGATTGCCAACTTTCCCCTAACGATTTAAAGGATAATGTTATTACTAAAGCGCTTGAGTCTGATGATAAAAACACTGAAATCCACCATAATAAGGCCGCTCACTCTAGCAATATTACAAGTAACCCTCGCGCTGCTAGGTCGCTTTACCAGGCGTCAGATCCTGCGCCTTATGTTGTCCATGTTCAAAAAATCTTACAACCAAATCAAACTGGATCTATTCACCCAGTACAATTTGGATTTTTCCTTAAAAAAAGTTTAATAAAAAGCATTGTAGAGGGAAGCATCAAAAAAATTGGAAGGAACAGATTGTCTTTACAATTTGAAACATTTCAGGATGCTAACACATTTCTAAATCACAAATCTCTTGATGTTAATAAATACAAAGCATTTATTCCGGCCTTCACTATCACCCGCATGGGAATAGTGAGAGGTATTCCATGTGACTGGGATGAGAAAGATATAATGGAAAATATTGACCTTCCGCAGAACTGTGGAAGTATTTTGAAAGTTCGGAGATTAAATAGAAAGGTATATGATGGCGAGACGCCCAAGTTCATTCCAACTGAGACCGTAGTTTTAACCTTTGATGGGAAGGTGCTACCTCCCAGGGTCTTTATATGTTTCAACTCCCTATCTGTAGAGCTTTATATTTACCCCACGCTGCAATGCTTTAATTGCTGCCGATTTGGTCACACCAAAATGCAATGCAGAGGCTCTCCAAGGTGTTACAAATGTGGTGACAACCATTCAGGTATAAGCTGCGAGACTGAAAGAGATGATGCTGTGTGTATCTTATGTTCTGGTTCCCATTTTGCAACAGACAAAAAGTGTCCGGAGTATGCTAGGCAAAAAGCTATAAAAGAAACAATGGCTAGAAACTCTATATCTTATTCAGAAGCCAGTAAAGTCCATCCACCAGTTTCGAAATCTTATGCTGACGTTGTTGCTTCTGCTTCATTGGCCCCTTCTGCTCGAACTATTACTTATTCCAGCCCCTATAATTCAACAAGCCCTTCTAAGAGTCACACACAGTCATATAGGAAAACAGTATTCTCGAAACCCAAAGGTCGTCCCAGAAATACTAGTAAGGGATATGATCAAAAAGCGCATGCAGAGCTTATCCAAGATTACAGCAACATTCCTTCCTTTTCTACAGGTTGTCTCAAAAATTACAAAGATCTATCAGAAATAATAACAAAGGATCTCATCATTTCTATAATTCAGTACCTTTCACAATCTAACCTAATTAAAATACCGTCCAACGATGCCGCTTCTTCAAAAAGTTTTTTAACTCATGGACAGTCAGGACCATCCACAAAACCAGTCTCTGGTGATTCAATGGAATTGCCGGAGTATTAATAGCAAAAAAAGTGACCTAATTTTTTTATTGAATAGTTACAAACCATTTGCAGTCTCTCTTCAAGAGACTTGGCTTCGTCCCGGACTCAACTTTAGAATTCCAGGACATATCTGTCTTAGAGAAGACAGAACAGATGGGTATGGTGGAGTTGCACTAATTCTTAAGGGCGGTGTGCCCTTTGTCCACATACCCATCCCTAATCACAGTAATAAATTTTCAATTATTGCTGTTAGTGTAAATAATATATGTTTTGTAAATATGTATATACCTCACCCTTCCACTGAAGTCCTTGACGATATTCGTAACATTCTATCTTCCCTCCCACATCCTATTTTGGTCATGGGAGACTTCAATGCACAACATTCTATGTGGGGAAGTTCTAAATCTGATCATTATGGGGCTAGAATCTTAGACATCTTAGATGATAATAATTTATGCCTTCTAAACTCTGGTTGTCCTACTAGAAGGACTCAGCCCCATGAGGGTATTAGTGCACCAGACCTTACCCTGTGTAGTCCCTCCCTAGCTCCTACATTAAACTGGTGGCCACTATCGTCGTCATATGGAAGCGATCACTTTCCTCTAATTATATCATTTCCTCAAAAAATTGGCGAAAAGATGTCTAAGGCTCCTCCCCGGCTAAAATATAGACTTAAGGATGCCAACTGGTCATTATTTAGAGATAAAGTTCAACAAAATTTATCAACTATACCTCCACTAAATGACAACAATAATCATCTTTGTGCTGAAGCTTTTACACGGGCCCTACTACAGGCTGCTGAGGAAGTTTTTCCTATTAAAAATAATAGTGGCAATGGGTATATTCCATCACCTCCTTGGTGGGACAGTGAGTGTTCTGCTGCGATAGCTGAGAGAAAGATAGCTGAAAAAAATTACAGAAAAAATTCTACAACACAAAATTTTAATATTCTTTGTAATCTTATAACTAAAACACGTAAATTATTAAAACAAAAAAGATTCAATGGCTGGAAATCTTTTTGTGCCTCAATTTCACCAGACATTTCTCCATCTGAAGTTTGGCAAAATATTCGTAGATTCAGATCCGCTTTTAAGCCTCCAAGGTCTCCTTTTATGGATAGCAGTACAGTTGATTTGTTTCTTGACAAATTAGCTCCACCATTTGTCCCATCTATAGATAATATTTCTTCTGACCCACAGCCTTCTCTCCTCTCCCAGCATGATAGTAGCGATTCATTCATTTCCTTTAGCCTTTCAGAACTCAAAGGGGTTCTTTCAAAACTTAGGGACTCAGCCCCAGGTTGTGATGGAATCCCATATTCTTTTCTTCAAAACTTAAACGACTCCTGCCTTTCTTATTTTCTTAGTTTAATTAATTCAATTTTAAGATCAGGTAATATTCCTCCATCATGGAAAATCCATGAAGTTATCCCAATACATAAGCCCGACAAACCGATTAATGATCCATCATCTTACAGACCAATTGCATTAGCTTCAGTTATTTCCAAAATTTCCGAACATTTAGTTAAAAATAGGCTAGAATGGTTTATTGAGAGTAAGGGGTTACTATCTCCAAACCAGTTTGGATTTAGGAAAGGTAGGAGTACGATGGATAGTCTCAGCATTTTTATGACAGACTTAAGATTGGCATTTTCGTACAATAAGTTTGTGTTAGCTGCATTCTTAGATGTATCTGCAGCCTATGATAATGTCAACCTTTCAATTCTGAAACAAAAAATGATTAATTTGGATATCCCACAAATTTTTATAAGATTCACAATCAATCTTCTCTCTGGTAGAATGCTTAAAGTAATATCAGAAGACTCCTACCAATCCCGTATTGCCTGGAAAGGTATACCCCAGGGCTCAGTTTTAAGTCCCTTAATTTATAATATATATTCTCATGATCTGGAAGCCTCCCTTAAGGGTAAAGTTAGCACACTCCAATATGCAGATGATTTACTCCTCTATGTCTCTGGTGATTCTGTTGATAACATGTCTGATACTATGACATATTCCCTTAAGTTGCTAAAAGTTTGGCTTGACAATAACTGTCTAAACCTTTCGGTTCCTAAAAGTAGTATAGTCTTATTTTCACGTATGAGGCTTCCTCCTCCAGTGTCTGTATTTTATAATAACATTAGAGTTCCCGTTAAAAGCGAAGCAACATTTCTTGGGGTAATTTTAGACTCGAGACTTACAGGCATTCCTCATTGCTACTATATAAGTGCCAAATGTGAGAAGATTCTAAATATACTGCGCTGCCTCTCTGGAGTTTGGTGGGGAGCCCACCCTTTCTCTCTAAAGCTTCTATATAATGCCCTAATAAGGAGTATTTTAGACTATGGAACATTTATTCTTGAACCCTGTAATGCAGTAGCTCTCCATAAGTTAGACATTATCCAGTCTAAGGCTCTGAGAATAATTGCTGGGGCTATGCGTTCAAGCCCTATTAACGCTTTGCAGGTTGAATGTTCTGAAGCGCCCCTGCATCTCAGACGACAATTTCTTTGTGACAGGTTCCTGTTTAGAGCATTCGAAGTCTATAATCATCCTCTTTACTCTAGGTTACGGTCTCTGTTGGAATGTATGGACTATCCGTACTGGGCTCATAAATCGCCGCCATGCCTTATTGTTAGTTTCCAAAAATTCTTAGCTCTTCAAGCTCCAACACATAGATCACAATTCCTTCCTATATTTTGTGTTAACTATGATGCCTTAATTTTAAAACCATCTATTTTGTTTGATTTCGGTGTATGTAAACAAGATCCATCTGCCAACGCCAAATTTATTGATATTGTTGACAGTGACAGCCGATGGAAACATTGCCATTTAATTTTTAGTGATTCTTCCAAACCCGGTTCCGAGGAGTGTGTGGGAGTTGGCGTTTTCCATCAACAGTTTGGCATTGTACAGAAAATAAAATTGCCTCCAGAGACTTCAGTATTTACTGGAGAATGTTTTGGTCTGTTGAAGTCTCTGGAGTACATTTTAATCATGAAGTTAAAAAACTCAATAATTTTTACGGATGCTAAAAGTGCCCTCCAAGCCTTGGAAAGATTTCCTTTTAGCAGTAACAGAAATAATCATCCAGTTATTATTGCATGTCGTGATTTATTGTATCAATGTTGCATCAAAAATTACACAGTTTCTTTTGCTTGGATTCCGGGGCACTCAGGTATCTTTGGCAATACCAAGGCCGATAGCCTTGCCAAAGCTGCAGTCAATGACGGAGATCTAGTTCCGTACAAAAACTTTTGTTGTGATTTGGCTCTCCTTCCTAAATCCCAGTTATTGAATTCTTGGACACACATTTGGCGTTCTTCAAGTCAGACTATAGGTCGATATTATAGTACGATCCAGGTGGATATACCTCCTAAACCGTGGTTTTCAAATCTGACGTTTGGTAAAGCTATCACTTCTACCCTTATTCGTATGAGGCTGGGCCATGCATGCATTCCCTTGCATTTGGCAAGGCTTAAACTTTTGCCTAGTAATATATGTGAGTGTGGCAATGACGTTGGGGATTTTAACCATATATTCTTTGCTTGTCCTCGACATGACCGTTCCGCTTTTATTTCCTCGCTTTTGTCCATTAAAATTCCTTTTCCTACTTCAATTTCTGTCCTTTTATCTTATGTAAATATTGATGTATATAGAATTTTAGCCAGTTTCATTTTTCATAACAATATAAAATTATAATAATTTATGTACTTATATACTAAATTTACCTGATCCTTTTCCAAATTCCGTTCCAATTTCCAATTCAATAAAATAAATCTTACTTCCTAACCTTTTTGCATGGCTGACGCACAAACCGTGCAGGCCAAGAAAGGGGAAAAAAAAAAAAAAAATTATCCAAGCGACATCAGACTAACTTTACAGAAGAGCTGTTTAAAGTTTGAATTTTCAGAAAAAAAATCGTGTCAATTCTTGTAATGGTCCAACAAGCCTAGTTCTTGGATTTTTTTTATCTATATTATAGTATACGTAAGTATTAAAAATAATGCTTAGTTTTAAAGTTAGTGTCGCTTAGTAAAATTTTCCCTAAAAGTAGAGACGGGAAAAATTGACTAACCGACTAGATTTGATTAAGGAAGGTACGGTAAAAATGTAATACCTAGTCAGGTCATAAATTCTGTCACATGTTTAATATAAAATAATTGAAACAAGTTTCTTCATTATGTAACCATTTATATACCAAAATGAACTTAACAAAACATAGATTCTTATAACACTAAAGTTTATTCAAAATGACCTCCGTGGTTTTGAATACAGGCCTTCAATCTGCACGGCCAGTCGTCTATCGCAGCACGAACGAGGTCCATGAAAATATCGGCGGCTGCCTTAATCAAGGATGTCTTGAGTGACTCCAAATTGGGATGAGGCTTTGAGCACGCCTTTTCCTCCAAGTGTTGCCATATCTTGTAATCTAACGGATTCAAATCTGGACTGGAGGAGGGCCAGTCTTCGTGCCGGATGAAGTCGATTTCACGCGCCGCCAGCCAGTCTTGTGTGCTCATCGCTCTATGAGCTGGCGCCGAATCTTGTTGGAATACCCAGTGCCTATTATTGAACATGGTATGAGAAACCGGTTCCACAAGGTTCGTCAGGACTGTATTTTAATACACAACTGCATTCGTTTTAACACCTTTCTCACAAAAATATTCCTCTGTTAAGCCCCAATAACAACTCCGCCGTTGCCGGTCCCAAACCCGGATGAGAAAGGAGGAGGGGACGAATCCGCCGGAGAGAGTGGGTGTATCCGGTGGACTAACACACTCACCTGCGCTAGGACCTGCGCAGTCGAGCGCCGTACGCGGGGATGAAGGAGTCCTGGAGGGTTGAGCCGATCGTCGCTGGGGTATATAGTGGCGAGAGGCAACACGCCCTCTTTGGTCCGGATTTCAAGCTAAACGGTGGCCCTATCTGCTAGCCACAGATAGGGAAATGGCCAAGCGCCCCGTCAGAGGGTCGCAGGCGAGGGATGTGGGGGCTGCCTAGTCTTCCTGAAAAGGGGGCTGGGTGGTGGTAAAGGCCATGCTGACGGAGCAAGTGACAGTTTATTCGGGTGGTGGGGATGGGCCTTGTCAGCCCCATCTACCAGCTGGATCGAGCTCCCGATGTCGCGCTGTGAGCCAACTTCGCGTCCCTATATTCTCCCGGTAATCCTAACGCCTGAAATTCCTTTTGCTTCTAAAGTAGGGCGTTCCCAAAGGTGCGGGCTCCATGGAGGGTGGGAAGCCGGGGGGATGAATTTTAAAAAAACACAAATTATGGACAATTTAAGGCCCAATTAGAAAGAGGGAGAGGTGTCAGAGGTGCTTACCAGAGACACCAAAGAACAAAAGGGAACCGTCACTAAACCGACGGTTCCACGGACAGTACCGTCCAGCGTAGGTGCCCCCACCAAAGGGATAACCTCGCTGAACGTTTCCAAAACCAGTTCCAAGGAGCTGGAAGAGAAAAAGAAACAAGAGCCCGCAAGTGATAAAACTGCGGAGCCACTACGGACTGACGACCTTTTCTCTGCTGCCTGGCAAGTGGTGAGCCGTAAGGGGAAAGGCAAGGCACCCAAAAAGGTGACTTGCCGACCTGACGGACCATCAGGAGGGTCTATCCCTGCAGGCAGTAGTGGAAAGGCCAAAAAGAAGAACAAGAAGCAGCGGGAAAAAGGCCGTAGAGAACGAGCCGCATTGGCTGCTTCAGATACCAAAACCAAGGAGGCTGGGCAAGCTACTGCGACTGAGGTGCTTGGCGCTGGAACCAGTAGCCGCGTTGAAGCTGGGAAGGATAAAAATCCAGCCCAAGTGGAAGTCGCGGACGCGGGAACCAGCTCTAGGATATCCGCCAGGAAGCAGCGAGCGGCCAAGCGTCCTGGGAAGAAGGAAAGAGCAGCCAAAAGGATGCTGGAAGAGTCCACCTCGCCTAGAGGTGAACACAAAAAAGTGCGACTCGAACAGCAACCAAAGACTGCAAGAACGAGCTACGCTTCCGCTGCTAAAGCAGATTTGGGTGTGGCCTTAACGTGTGCGCGTTCAGGTCACATTACGAAGGAAGTAGCAGACGACATCCTCGTAGCAATACAGAGGAAGATGATCAGCGAGGCCTGGAGTAGCCAGGACCCTGATGCGTCGGGCCCAGTTTTTAGGGGCAAACCCGTTTATACGGAAGGTGTCCTGAAACTGTGGTACGACGATCAGAAGGCTCTGGACTGGTTGAAGGGGAACATTGCTACCCTCGACCTTAAATCCAGCACCTTGCTGACAATAAAGAAACAGTCAGAGATACCACAAAGAGTCAATCACGAGACATTGGTCGCGTGTTGGCGTACCAGAACCGCTGGGTTAACATCAGGGACTGGCTGTTACTCAAGGCAGATAAGCAGACGGACGGGTGGTTCCTCGTTGTTTCGGTGCCGGAGGATCATATCCCGACCCTGATGAAGGCCGGACGCCGTCACACATGTGTATGCGGGGCGGTATACGTAAAATTCCAGGGTCGTGGAGGCAAGTTCTTTGATACTCCACCGAGCAAAGAGGTAGAAAACAACCCGGAAGTTATGGATACCGGAGCCATAGTTACCGGTACAGCGGAATCACTGGAGGCCAAGTCCAGTGAAGAAACGGCCTGCACAATTGAGCCGAAGCCCCCAGTGGAGATTGGGCTCAGCGGCAGCTCACTGAGTGACGAGGAGGACTGCATTTTGCCGACCACCTCCGACTCGGTGGCTGACGATGAAACTCGAGATCTTCTGGCAGGCCTATTTTTGGGCGGGGACGGGGAGGACGCGATCAATGATGGCGTGCCCTTCGTCCAAAACTAGCCTAGTGCAGGCCAACCTCCACCACAGCGAAACTGCGTCGGCTCAATTACGCAAGTGGTTGGAGGTTCAAAGGACTGCCATAGCCTTAATCCAGGAGCCATGGGTTGGGGCTGGTAAAATTAAAGGCCTAAACAACCTAAAAGGTAAGTTATTCTACAGCTCTGAACACGACAAGCCTAGAGCGTGTATTTACACTACTAAAGATATCTGTGCACAACCTTTAACAGATTTCTGTTCTAGAGACATGTATGCCGTAGCAATACAGTACACACAGGAGAGTAGATTAGTCGTCGCCTCGGTCTACATGCCGGAGGAAGACACTCCTCCCCCTCATGACCTCAGCAGGCTGGTGAACTTCTGCGAGAGGACCGGACTAGAGGTTGTGATCGGGACGGACTCCAACGCACATCATCCCCTTTGGGGAATGGAAAAACCAAATGAACGAGGTAAAGTTTTAGTTGAATATTTATTTAGTACTAACCTAACCATTTTAAACATAGGTTCTGAACCTACTTTCATAAACAAACGCTGTCGCACTATAATCGACCTCACACTTGCAACAGAAGGAGCAGCCAAACTAATTACGGGATGGCATGTGTCGAGAGAGGCCTCATGCTCAGACCATAGATGGATCTGCTTCGCACTACAGGTCGATATCCCCTCTACACCACCATGGAGAAATCCCCGCAAGACAGATAAAACAAAATACCTAAATAGGCTGACGTCTTTGCTAGCGGATTTTGAGGGGATAAATACTATAGCAGATCAGTCGCTCCTAGAAGAACAGGTAGCAACTGTTACTAAGGCCATGATAGACAGCTACCATGAATCATGTCCAGAAATCACTCCACCAAGACATGCCGAGGTAAAACAACCGTGGTGGGGTAAAGAACTCGATAGAAAACGTAAGAAGGTAAGAAAAGCTCTAAATAGGGCCATGAATACCTCAATGGATGAAGACTGGCTATTATATAAGAAAGCTAAGTCTGAATACAAAAAATGTATCAGGTATCGACGCTCGATTGGGTGGCGTAAATTCTGTGGCAACATAGAAACCTGCAAACAAGCAAATAGGATTAGGAATATTCTAGCTAAACAGAACACGTCGGGATCCATGTCTCTAAAGAAACCCGACGGTAGCTACTCAACATCGCCGGATGAAGCCCAACGCATCCTAATTGAAACGCACTTCCCAGGTTGCTGCGTAACCCAGGAGGCAAACCGGCATGACGACATACTGACATCAACAGCAGAAGACTGGAATTTAGCACAGAGAGTGGTAACGATGGACAAAATCCATTGGGCCATTCACAGTTTCCTCCCCTATAAGGCGGCAGGACCCGACGGCATATTCCCGGCACTCCTACAGTGGGGGGGTAAAGCCCTAATAGTCAGACTTGCTGCCATAATGCGAGCCTGTCTTGCTCTTAAATATGTTCCTAGGGGATGGAGGGAAGTGAAAGTTACATTCATACCCAAACCAGGTAAGAGCGACTACACTGACCCTAAATCCTACAGGCCCATTAGCCTCACATCCTTTCTCTAAAGACGATGGAGAGGATGTGTGAAAGGGAATTAAGGGGGTCGGCGCTAATGAACTTACCACTACACGACAAGCAACACGCCTACAGTCTAGGCAAATCAACAGAATCGGCCCTTCATAAGGTAATTACAAAGATTGAAGAGGCCATCCAAAACAAAGAAATATGTCTAGGTTCCTTCATAGATATAGAAGGTGCTTTTGACCGAACGAACTTCTCCAGCATAAAAGGTGCACTCGGTAGACACAAAGTTGAACCGGCACTGATCGACTGGATAGTTTACATGCTCAGTACACGAATAATAAAGATTGCTGGTGAATCTCAACCAATCCAAA